AATTTTAGTGGTCCCCATTTTCTGGTATAAGAAGTAGGATCAAGGAGTTGCAGTTATTCCTAACTTTCAAGTAAAAACAGTAAAACTATGGACTTATAAAATCTGATGCTTACATAACAATGACGGCTCCTCAGGTACAAAAGTTGGCTACTGAGTTACAACGATGGTGACGTAGCAGAAAATCTCCAGTTATAACAAAAGGACCCCTTAATAAATTTGAGAAAAATACTTCAGATGAATCAGATTCTAATGAAACGTCTGATAATGTCATATCAGTAACATAGCTGTCATATCTGAATAGCAAAATCAGACTCCAGATTCCATATCAAATAACAGTTCATTTCAAACACTGAGTGAGAAAGGATTGTTATGGTGTTTCTTAACTCTTCTAAATACTTTTTGAAAGATATCATAGCTTCTAGATGATGAACCTAGTTTTGATATTTGATATAGATTTCTTATTTGTAAAACAGAAGTTGATTTTATTGGATGTTTTGGAAGAAAATCATGATCGAATTTCACCATGGAGTAAGTTGTGACCACTAATAAATCATATTAAACACTTAACTTCACTGTTACAAGCAACATTTTAATTAATTCACATATAAGTACAAGTTAACTGTTTCATTTTTCAATGTTTTATTATTTTAAGGACTATTCTGTTTATTGAATTCCTATGGTCCACTTAGTTAACTTTCTTGCATTTATGATATAGAAATAAATCTTTTTGTCGTTATCTTTGTTGAACTCTTAATCGAAAGTATGAATTATTGGAGCGATAGAAACCAAAATAAATTTTGATGGAGTTTTGTTCTCTGAGCTGGATGGTATCATCCACCTGATCTACAAACCTCCACCATCTCACCAAACTAAATATAAATGACATATCATTTATTTCATGCAAATTCAACCTATCATTATAATTATTACGGTTGTTGGTATTAGAATAATTATTTTAGTGATAACAGCTTTCTAATTTTGAATAAATATAAATATATAATGCAATATAATGCTAATTAATTATTTGCATATCTGTCTTAGTGTAAAGGTCATTCAGTCTCTGACAGATTTAGTTGCACCAAATTGGTTTTTCTGATAAAGTTACAGCACTATGATGAATAATTAAAATGCAAAAACATTTTTAGACAACTGTTACCCGACATTAGGACATAAAATTTTACATCCATGAATGGTTTGTGAACTGTATCTTGAATTGTGCAGTTGTAATACAAACACAAACTTCAGATATGTGCCTTGTTAGGATTATAGAATACCGTGAATTATTCGTTGATTTAATAATGCGTCAAATTTTCTGGTATGAACTGACGAGGAGATAGATTTTATCATGTTACTGAATCCTTGACAAGAACAAAACAAGGGTTCTACACTCTTTAATTTTAAACTGGTGTTAATACGCTACTGTCATATAACCGAACACCTAAGCACGCTTCATTAGATACAGTAAATGCTCCGACTTTATGGACACAAATCGGTGAACATTAATGGGGATTTGTTAATAATAACAGTTTTGTGGTTAACCAAATTTGTTAAAACGCGTATGTGGTCATTTTCGATTTGTATATTCCACTGCTAAGACCACCTGTAGGCAGATTATTTTAAGTATGTAATAAAATCTTGATTATGACATCGTCGAAAAATTGAACGTTGAAAAAGATTAGTACTCTCCAAAGGTTACTGTAAAAACTACGTAAAACTAGTTGACGCGCACTACTGAGGAGTCCCATACTAGGACGAAACGGCCGTCTAGTGCTTCCAGATTTGTAATGATGATCTAACATTGATGGATTCATGATCTCAATCAAAAAACACAATAATCTTCGCAACCCCATACTGAAAAATAAGAATATGTCAAGGTTTAAAAGTAACTTCCACCGTGCACACAATTTATGTCCGAAAGATTTTCATTTTGTTTTAGAGATTAACATCTAGGTGAACAGTTGATTCTGATGATAAACTTTATTTCCGACTGCGCATTGCTGGTGTTCTGTATGACACTGTTTACTGATTGTAATAATTGTATGTAATGAGTCTTGATGAAAGAATCAATAAGCATGAAATAAGAAACTCATTTGGAATGAATGATTCAGAAGAATGTTAACTACTAGTATAACAATAAAAGTTTAAAACTAACATTTATTTTACCATTGAAGACAGCCTGAAGAAGATATGATAGACCCATTCTTAAATTTACAGCCAGAGACCCTATACGCTTCATTTATAATGAAAGTCATAGTTGTGATACTAAATGACTCTAATTACATAAGTGAATGGTCGGTTAACAACAAATCACAAACCAAGGTTATTCACAACCGATAATTTTTAAGTGTGCATGGATGACTCCCGATCATGGGATTAAAGCTGTCTCTATCATATTTGAGTTTTGTAAAGAGCTCATACATGTCGTAAATTCACGTCACGTATGAACTATCGGATAATTTGCAGAAATATTGGTTTGGACGCTATTAGACAGGGAGAAAGAAAGCAATAATTAGACATAATGTTTGAATGAGAAAAGCGGTTCATCCTGATTGCTGACTCGTGAGAATTCCTCAGGCCGATCTAGACTTGGTATCTTCTTCCTAACTTGTTTAACAGGCTAACATAAAAAGTTTACTTAATGACCTTGAGTTTAAAGTCATGGGCAGATTCAAATTGGTCGAAGCATTTTTAGAAGCATGGCATATCATAAATAACAAGACACCCCAAAGTCACGTGTAAAAGTTGTCCCGTCACAAGATAGTTTAATTCAGGTCAAGGTCACTTTTAAACCAATCATATCGAAATTTTTATGCGTGTCTGGGTTAAGCAATCAAATAGAAGGTTTTATCGTAAATATGATGAGAATTCAAAATCTTTCGAGATTTCGATTGGTGGGTTTCACGTATTTTATGAGTGACATTTTTATATTCTATGGTTTTGCCGGCTACCCATGTCACATGACTGGTTATCGATTTTTAATCTTAACACTTCTTGTTTTATGAATCTGGCCTATGTATAGATGGTTTAAGTAAAATTTAAGGGTAGAACAAGAAAGAACATGAGACGTTTGGTTTGATGAACAGTAATTATTGCACGACTATGGTCTTGGGAATACTCCTCGTCAACACTTTTCTAGGGCTCCATCCTACTTTATATCTCAAATAATTTATGCACGTGATAAAAATGATAGCTGGAATGCTTCTTGGGATTTCCATAATATATTTAATTTCTTTTCAATGGGATATTTTATTTCTGATCGGTATGATCAGTTCAAGATAGTTAGATATCTGAGATTTTTCAAGTAAACTAATTGATAGTTCGAGGTTTATCTTATGCCTATTTTAGAATCGGGATAAAGTTCCACGAATCTAATTCTAAGTATTTTAAATTCATCAACAACGGAATATAAGTAGCGGTATCGACTGGTTTCAGTGCTAATTTATTCACTTCATAGTCCATTATTGATAGTGTCAAACTAAGTTTTCTGCATCGTTTCGTTGTAAACTTACAATTTATTTGCCATTATACGTGATCATTAGGAAGGTAAGAATGTGGACATGAGTTTCTTCCTAATGTTATTTCTGAGGGTTTGTTTAATACGTGGACTGTTTTCGTCAAAAACCCATATTTTTCAATTCAAAATGTTGAGTGATTGTTTTTTCTATGTTCGGAAATCTTTATAGGTTTATTTTCTAACATTAAACACCATTCATCCTAAATATATGAATAGTATTAAATTTTATACCAAACGAAGTCCCAGAAAATATATACCACTGAGGGGTATAAGACAGCACAGAATAACTTTCGTTTCTTAACTGAGATCTCTTTATTATCGAAAATCAAATCCAAATAACTTTTTGTTTATTAATTCACTAAATTGCTATCTATTTACAATTACGGTCATCACTTGCAAATTAACCTAAACAGTGTCGAATTCATACGAATTAGTTTGGCTTGGCTGTTGTTTGTTGTGAATCATGATATTTTTAAACACTTATTGCAATTTACTATCTCCCATCGAACTTATATATTATTTACTAACGTTATTTTATGAGGAGTCTACAATCTATCTCTCCTTATGGGAAACTAGGATTTAAGTGATAATACTGTAGTGTTCGACACACTTTTTTCTTTCGTTGTTGGAATGAGACCGGGTTGTATTAGCATACTCGTAAAATGTGTTAAAGATAGTCTACAATACTTTATCAGGAATATATATATCTTTCGGTGAAGAAGATTGTCAAAATAGAAATAATTGAAAATCCTTTGGAATTAAAGATAAAAATTAATTAATCGTAACAGTAAGGTTCTTTTGCTACGAATTTCTCAGAATTATGAATAAATTATACATCGTAGATATATTTGTTGCAATAGATTATAGTTTGTGTATAGAACTTCTCATTGTAACCATGTAACTAGGTTATTACTACTGTTTCCCTGTCTGACATCCAATTATTTAAATAAAAGTGGAAAATCTATTTACATCTCTATTTTAGTTATATACATAAATCTTAAAACGAAAAGTATTTTTGCAAAAAGTTATCAAGAAACAAAATAGGTTCGAATTATATTTCAGTAGAAATGAAAATTGATAGGAAAAGTTTTGTTAAAATAGACACCATGGACTAAATAGCAATCCTGAAAGTTATGCTGTTGTAGTTGGAATAAAGTTTGTAATTAGTAAAATCAGATGATCTTTGAAGATATATTACGAATAATTTTTATTCTTCAATCAACTATTCTAGGAAATTGATTGTGAACTAGAAAGCTAAACACAGATTGGTATACTGGATTACTTCAAACGACCGTTGGATCATAACGAACGTCTCTCAAGTAATACAAAGCAACGATTCAGTGGTAATGTGAGCTTAAACAATATAGAGATGCATACTAAGTTAGACAAAATGTATGCATACACTGATGAGATACTGCGTATGCAAGACAACAATCACCTAGTATCTCAGTTCCAGCTTCTAATAATTCTTCAACTAAGTTCAATTCACTACATATCTTTTAACTAGTTCGTCATTACATTACATTGATGGATACACGTATAATGATGCTAAGAAAGTAGTTCCATTATTTATCTATCCAATTATTCTAACTTAGCCATACACGTGGATCAAATATATCATTGTTGTATTCTTCATTAAAACGATCACTAGAATAGTTTGGTCCCTGTGAATGATTTACAGGACGATATAATCCATCCAATAAATTTAAATAATTTCTTAAAATTATTTTATTTCTTGATTTAGACTTCGGATAAATCATAAAAGAGTTTAAATGTTTTGGCTGTTCATTACGACTGAAAAGATTTGATTTGCCATCAAATAATGGATTTCCAGAATAATATGGATGAAACTGTTTATCAGCTTCAATGTCACATGAATTTAAAGAATTTGGTTGTATATGAGTAAGTGTGTTTTGTTGAATGGGACTCATATGTTTGATTTGATCTTGTGATTCTGCTTTGATTTCTGATGATAAACTTAAATCACATGAATCAGAATACGTGAACTGTGATCGTTGTACATTAGAAGCTTTAATTGAAGAACATGGTGAAGAGGATCTTGGTACATAGTTCATTGATTCACTGACTAAATTGTTTGAATGAGCATAATCCATATGATTTCCTATAAAGGTTGTAAATATATTAAGAGAATAATGGATTAGGTCTATAACTTCTCAATCAAAGAATAAAGTAATAATCTGCTCAGTTTAAACATTCGTCTTCTATAAAGTCTATTTTATCTCACATCTCTGAATGTAATGTCGTATGTTCTAGAAAAAAGTCTGACCATGGAAAATACAAACTCATAGAGTTAAATAAAATTGTTTACTTCATACATTTCACATACATATTTGTGCTTTTTTTTGTCTGTAGTCTATTCATGGTTATTATAATCACAATTAAGTGACAATATCAAAGATTTCCCCGACCAATGGTAATCGAATTGACTTATCTTATGCACAGTAACAAATTTTCCTTGAGTTGAAATGAAATTAATAAAGTATCAATGAATTTCGGTCATAAAAATCAAATTATCATTTTTTGCAGATTACGTCGTTCTGTTATTGATTTCTCAGTATTTCTCCAAGTGAAACGACACTAAAAGTTAAACTTGTTACATCATGATTAACCGACTCACTGGTCTAATGACATTGTGATTGTTATGATAGTTGAAGGTTTTGAGCTCGGTCTCGCATAAAGTTTTGCGTTCACACAGCTGTAGTGTTCTGAACTAGGAGAAAATGAGTGTCTATGAGATGAAAGACAAAATGAGTAAATAAGTTGTTTATCGTTGTTAATAAACAACATAGTTGATGACCATCTCCAGATGAATGCAGAAGTTCATTTGAATTCTTTACATTCTATACATTAATATAAATTATGAAAGATAACAGACGTTTGCTGAAAAACGAACGTAAAACACGATTCGGCATTGATCCCAGTTTTAAGTAAATTTACACTCAAACATAGTATAAATATGCTAGCCAATCCAAGTTCAGGTGGATTGCCTATTTATTCATCAATAACCTAATGACATAGAGTATTACAGAATTCGATCTGAGCAAAATACACTTCATTTTAATCATTTACACAGGTTTTACATTGATATTATGACAGTCTGTATCAGTAGATTGTTGATTCGGTATGTTGGTTAATAAAGATGAAAATTCATTTGATGTCATAGTTTATTCAACAAAATTAACTTATTTCATTCTTTCAGAGAACGGAACACTTATGCTTTTATGCTGACGAATTATTATATTTGTGATTTGGTGAGTTAATCATAGGGAAAGAACATTTTTGAAGAGAACTATGGCTCTGTGTATTTGAGGTTGACCACACATGCTGAGTAAACAAAATAGACAGAATATAAATTTACGATAATTCTGATTTTCGGTCAGCTATCTTTCAAGATATGTTATTTGTTCCCTAACCATTTATTTCTCTGTTGTTTCCAGTATATCTGTTTCTTTTCAGTGTTAAGCTTTCTATGAAATATCAAGCTTTTCTTTTTAATACAATTATCCTTATCCATTTTTAGAACAAAAAATTACGTAGAACCATCAGTACTTTAGATGTTTTAGGAAAGTGTAATGCTTCAAAAATATGAATTTAGACTAAGCAAACGAAAGTACATGATGTTGATTAATAATATCAACAATTTATGTTTGAATCCACTCTCTCTGTCTTTAAAAGCTAACTGATGGTAGGTAATTTAAATCTGAGATTCTACGTTATCGAGAGTCAATAGTTCCCATAGTATAAAGATATGAGAAAATTATTTGTAATGGGTTGTTTACTTTTAGGTTTGTTTTGAATTTCTCGTTTTGGATACGGTTGATAAACTTTACTCAAACATACAGTACTTTGACACATTACTCATGTTGTAGCTCTATAGTTAGAATAGTTGCATTCTACCTCTGTCATATTTCCTAACAATAAAACACGTATTTACTGTAAAACGGAACATTTTAACCTCGAAAGTTAATATAAATCCTAAATATACTTAGTTTCAGTTAACGTATTCCGTCAATTTGTTTAGCTGTTAATATATTGGCATTTAAATTGGCTTAATGCAGTGTGAGACGAATTTGAATATATCTATTAATTCATTTACTAGGTACAATTAAGATTCAGTCATTCTACGTGGAATGTAATTGTACAATAATAGCTGACTATAAACTTTTATTATTATTATTATTATTATTATTATTATTATTATTATTATTATTGATACTTCGTTATTAGAACAGACTTCCGGGTAGAAATGATCATTTCAGTTGTTATTATTCAAATGCATTAAGTACACCTTTGTTTTCGAATTAAAAATTCTTCTGCCTAACTTCATAAATGGTTAATGATCGATAGTTGGTAAAATTTCATAACATGTAAAAGGTAGAAGCTGTTTCTTGTTGTATCTGTCAACATGTCCTATATCATTTGGTGTAATCAAGAGCATCAGTTATCTGAACACCGCATCTTTGTTGACCTTTGATATTATATTATGAAATATTTAAGCTAATAAGAACTTTTCATTATTGATTTGTGTACAGTTATTCGGTCGCACTGAAATATTTCCATGACTAGGTGTGGTTGACAAGACATTATTGGCTAATGCATTAGTGTTTACGGATGTTTGGTATTCTAAACTTTAATCCAAATAAATTATATGAATTATTTATTTTTTATTATGTGTAGATTCTATAATTCTGAATTAAAAACGAGACAACCGTTGCTATATGAAACCTATCTGTTATCATAATGATATACCCGAAGTTTTCGAAACTTCTGGCAAAATTGCTGTAAGTAAGTAGTCATAATCTATATTATTTATCAATCATAAAAACGTAACTCCTGTTACAAATATGCATCATACAACTGAAAACATTTCATAGTAGGATAATATGAACAAAAAATTAATAAAATATGGAATCATAATAGTAGTACCAATACGTAGTATAGCAGACCAAACAAAATATATTTGGTTCAAAAATAAACTGAGTAAAGTAATGATAAGATTGAGTGTCTAGAAACTTTGTACACCTCAGTAGATCTGTTCAGATGAACATGTAAATTAAGAATTATAATTGAGATGTTGAATAAATAATATATCACTATTTGGTTTTTAATTGTATAGACTAGACGCTTACGTGTTAATTTTAAGCATATTTGTAGAGTCTTTTATACAAAGAACAATATTCTGTCAATTTTTTAAAAATCATTTTGGATACTATAAGTCCTTCCTTGTTTGAGTGTTAGTCATCTTATCACTGAATAGTGGGTGGGCTGGAAATAGGGGTTAGCAAATTAATCAAGGTTACTTATTATGATAAGAGAAGAACCATACAATATGTGCTGTTTTATTTTATTATTTTCTAGATTTATCACTAATGAGATAAAGTCCTTAACATTCTGATCTTTTGATAGAATTTTAATATAAAATCCTTATCATTATTTCTTTCTATTCCTTATTTACACGTGACTCAAATTACAGAAAGCTGATTAATTGAAATGCTTACTTTGATACTCGTAATCCGTAGGATGTGATGAATTGGGTCGACAAATTTCACATTCGATAAAAGTTGGTGATTTGTTATCACCACACTTCGACGGATTCTTGTCTAGAGATTTGTTTTGTTCATTGCTATTATTATCATCATAGCGTTTTTGTGACGAGGTTACTGTGTTTTTTGTTGTTGTTGGTGTTGTTATTGCTACTGATGTCGTCGCCACTACGTCTCCTGACACAGTTGTTACTGACAATGTTATTGATGGTAGTGATGATGAATCACTTGAACATTCTATATTTCTTTTGTTACCTGAATGATTATACTCCACATCAGTGGTAGTTTGTAATTGATAAGTATGGCATAATTTATCTGGATTTCTCTTACTTATTATTGGAATATTTTTACCATGATTATTTTTAAAATTATTATAATCCTGGTTGTCAGTATAATAACCATCTCTGGGTGCAAAATATGAATGTTTGATTAAATCTTTCTTTGAATAATCGTAATTTAACAATTGTCGGTGTCTCTGAGGAAATTGTTGATGTTTTCTATAAAGTTTATTCATTGATAATGGCATATTATTCACTATGGGATGCATATATGATTGGCCTAATATAATTGGCATTGATGAATTCGGCAATGCACGATGCCTTAAACAACTATGTAATAACGCACCGAAACTCGCTATGCCTAGAATACAACCAGCTGTTAAACAAGCTCGATAATTTAAAAAAATACCTAGTAAAGATAGTATTATAGACAAAACTATTGAAATCCCTAATAAAATTAGTATTAGATGATGTATAATACGTTGTAATTTCTGTGAATGACAACAACTGCTTAAATAATCAACAATATTTTTATCATGATTACCAATATCGTGTTCACTACAACAGAAACAACAGAGCATATTTGAATTTTGAAATTCTGCTGAATAATTTGAACTACTTATAAATGTAGTAGTAAGTGGTTTCTGGCGATAAAAATCAGAGGTTTTAGAGTTTTCACCACAATTTTTTGATGTTGAATACAATTTCATTAATTCATAATAATACTGATCAACATGATCCAATTGTATCGGTAAAGAAGACTCGAGAGAATTTTGTTTAGAATTCTTATCAAAAGAAAGATGTTTGTTGCTTTTGCATCCACACATATCTCTTTTATCATTTTGGAGCGAACTGTTTGTATACATATTTATTTATCTATAAAATATAAGGTTAAAAAAGCATTAAAAGGCTTTTTCAATTATTTTTCATGACATAGACTAAGGATGAAAAATTTTTTTGGATATACTATATAGTGGCCGCTGTCAATGCAACTGGGGGTATATTGTTAAATTTTGTCGTGAACAGTAGATTGTAGTATAAATAAATCGGGGGAGTAAATTATAATGACGTTTTTGGGTTGATATAGTACATAAATTTGAAGAAGAATGAACTGACTTTTGAAAAGGTCTATTCATGAGACATTCTATAGGTATGATCTTGTTTAATAAGAGGGAATATTATGAAATCGACAATTTCAGTAAGTAACTTTAAAAACAACTTATTGATTCCTTAACATACTGCAGATGTAACAAAACCCAGTATCACTAAGTGTTGAAGAGACTATGATGTATTAAAAACCACCTCACAAAAAAGGCTAGATGTTTTCGCTTCTGTGCAGCTATGTGAAATCTTAACAAAATCTGGGATAGAGATATGTCTAGATGACGAGTCTCAAATATGCCGGAACTTTCGACTTTGGTTCTGTTACTAATCACAACTTAGATGTACTGATAGCTTATCACAGAAATTGCAAAATCTAGGCTTTTGCACATATATCAAGAGTGACTGGTCGGTTCCAGTCCTTCATCTCCATAACATAAAATTACAAACCTTAGAGAGTATTATATGTATGAAAAATGAAGGGAACATTTAAAAGAGTAATACCAGATATTACGTACCACTCACAATTATTGTAACTTTAGGATATTAGTCAGCATTGTATACCATGCCAACTAATACTTATTAGTAAACACATTGTCATTTAGTGTCTCCATATCTGACTCCTGTTCGATCGTTTCTGCTTGTTATCGAAAGATGTATATCACTAATTCTCGTATTTAATCATCGACTTAAATCGTGTTGATGAATAGGAGAATTAAATAAGACAAATATGATAATTGATTTTTGAATACGTATATTTCGTAATCTTTGGTCGAAAAGCGAAGCTAAGCAAAATGACGGACAATGGAGAAGGTGAGTAAGCCAACTCAATTTAGCCAAGCATGAATCGATATTTATAGTCGAACAAAAATAAGTTACAGACACATAATGAGTAAGGTAGGCAATTAACACATATACGATCATATAAAAAACAGTCAGGATTAATGAGCTAATAACTGACAAGGTTAAAATGTGACTTAAGAAGGATGGATAAATTGATCTTTCCAGAGTCCAGAATAACCTATGTGGGCCTGAAATAGTACCAGCCATTACAGGTAAACTGTAAATGGCTCGTACGTCTTGAACTAAACATACTTCCCTAAATGACTGTCTTTAAATTTAATTTAAACCTCCAGAAATTAAAATGTACAAAGAGAGGTTAAACTTTAGTAACTATTTATCGGGTTGGTGATATTCAGTGTAATGCTTTCTATTCTTTTTCAAAACAGTTGGAATAGCTCACGGGGAAACTATACTCATGGTTTTTAATGCATTATACGAAATTTTGTTTGCCAGTTTTAGGTAGCTATGCATAGGTACAACTGGGTTACAATGTGTTATTGTATACATTCTTTGTATCACATTAAGATGGTAGGTTTGCTGTTCGTATTAAAATACGTAAGCGAACACTCGGACATCATGCAAACACATGAATTTATTGAAACATGCACTGGAGTTTTCTGCAACTGACTACACAACGATTCATCTGTACATCAAAGTTATTTTTAAAGGACCTTTTCAATTGAATTAATCGTTTCCCGATGATTAGTACCCCGATATTGCTTGCCCGCTGTTAAAATTTCACGACTGCTGATGTGAACCTATAGGGTAAACTTTTATACTACTTATTAATAGCTTGTTTTTCTTTGATAAAAAACTAACGTAATAGTGTGTTACATTTAATTTTGAGCCAAGAATTTTATACTTGAAGATAATTTTCGTCATTTACTAAGTCAACTGGGAACCCATCAAGAAACTTGAAGACTACTGCGCTGATGTAGATTTGTTCAAATTTCCAACTTCGGTAAATCCAAAATATCACCATTAATGAGACATTCTTATTGAAATTTATAGCCTTACATAGTTAATTGATTGGAGTTGGAAGTCTGAACAAGCTGTTTCCATTTTCATTAAAATTTGCCTTGTTTTTTGGAAGTTGGGAGTGAGATACTTATTCATAGACGATATTGGATGAATTTCGCTAAAATCCTTACAAACTTCCTAATCGAATGTCATATCGCCGAGATTTATCAGATGGTGACGTGTAGCAAAGGCGAGGTTTATGATTTCGCTTAAAGGGACCAATATAATATAAGGCACGTTTGTATAAAATACTTACTTCAGTATAGTACGATTTTTGAAAAAATTATACATTGGTTGCGTTTATTTGATCATATGTCTCTCTTGAAACAGTAGTGATTTCGATGAAGCAATTGAGTGAGATGGCTTGATTTTCCAAATTTTAACTTGGCTATTGAAGGTTAAGTGTTCAAACTACTGAGTCAAAACTCTACAAAAAATAATCAAAGATTCATTTCTAAAATCACTTGAAGTGAAGTGTGACGCTTTACTCATAAAAATTTGAAATTACTTTAATCAAAACCTAACTGAAGTTTACAACCAGTTGAGATATCGAAAATAATCGACCTCAATTTAGTGATAGACGAGAGTACAGTTCGAGTAGTGATATGATTTGTAAGGGGTTGGACAATCAGTTACTAAATTCATATCACTGTGTAGATTTATAAGAAACATTTAAATTCTGCTTACAATGGTAAAATTGTATCATTCATCAGTTAATTATTTTATTATGTGGTTATCTCTTTAATACCATGGTGGTATGTCTTCCTGATAGTCATAAATCTGTTCAAGATAAAAGATATATATATCAGAAGGGGTATCGTGGATAGTTAGGATCATGAGTTAATGGAAGGTAGACCACCATGGAAAACCTGGGAGCACTGGACGACCGTTTCGTCCTATTGTGGGACACCTCAGCAGTGCGCACCCACGATTCCACTTCGTGAGATTCGAACCCAGGACCTGTTGATCTCGAGCGCGAACGCGTATGTATGTAATGTATGTACAATATACTTAGAATATCGACATAATCATAAATATATGAGAAATTCTGGACATATTAACACTTATCACGAAAAGAGAGAAGTTGTATGGAGTGTGTCAGGGTAGCAACATATCTGTTCACATTTTCAAATTTCATCACTAAACAGTGGTGGAAAACGAGTAATCCATAATTTGCAGTTAGATAAAATGCGTAAAAATGCAACAAGATGACTGATTTCGAGCTATATAATTCAATAATCATTCAACTAATGACCATGACAAACTAATGGATCTCTGACTTTATTAATCTTGGGGCTCAGGGGATTGACGTCATATTTCGAATGAACCGTACACAGCTTTCTTCCATTCTGATTGTACAGCAGCTAGTATGGCATTGACCAGTAGCCGCGACTTCACTTTATACGTGGCACTGACTTAGTACGAAGGAATAGACGAACATAAAATTGTTTATTACTCAGTGATCAATCTGTTAAAAATGTTTCCATCTTACAGAAAATCAGTCACCGTTCAAATAGGTCATTGCCAAAATCTATGAATGTGACGGTGGACCAAATGAGTTCAAGTCACATAGGAGAAGTATTGTTTTTTTTTAAGACAACTGACGTATATTTCTGAAGAGTGTCACCCGATACAAATTATATGTTCAAAGCATTTTTTTGATTATATTCATCTATCTAGTATGATATCATACTATTAATATAGGTTAGACTTAATCATGAGTAATACACTTATTCTCAGTTATTATAAGTTTGAAACTTGATCATATTCATGGATTTTTTTCTTTACTTTACATTCCGCAACTAACATCGGTAACGTTCATTTAAATACCACTTAAAAAATTACTCACTACAACATTAACAGTGTCCAAAAATTATTTAAACACAATTTTATTTAATATCAGATGGGTTTTGTGGAGATTGTAGTAATTTCAATGGTTAAGATCATGAGTCAGTTGAAGCTGGACCACCATGGAAAACCTGGAAGCATTGGACGGCCGTTTCGTCCTATTGTGGGATGGCCGTCCAATGCTTCCAGGTTTTCCATGGTGGTCCAGCTTCAACTGACTCATGATATCAACAATTTTATTTTATAATTAAAAGTACTCGAAGTTCTATTCAAAAAGAAAAAGTTATTATTTTTTCAGCATAGAGTAATTCCAACGGATGAACTATCAAAATTTTAAGAATACTAAACAATCGTTTATTGTCAACATGAAACTTTGTAATAGAAATATAGCAGATATATTCCCTTTTACTTCACATGGATACTTATGGATAATTATGACTTATGAATTCATTCTTATATTGACACTGATAAATTTCAATATTTACCGATTATTTTCAGCCTTTTTTTCTTTTTTTTTAAAATAAAAAAAGGAAGAATAAAACGAGCGAATGAACTAAAGGTAACGATTAAAAAAAATTTCAATATTGAATTTATTTAAGCGGAACGGTATTCATTTTTGTCCTGTGACAAAGTAATTTTTTTCCCCTTTTAAGAGCAGAGAAATCGAGTAAAGTATGAAAACAAATTTTTAAAAAATATTGAAAAGTTTTCCACAAATCATACTGTGAATTTTAGATAGCGAATAGATTGTTTTGTCATATGAAAATGTATACACTATTTAACTAGCTTATAAAGTATCGATTTCTGGTCTCGGGTTTGATCTGGAGTCTTTGTACAACGGTTATTAATGCTATGCGGTTGATTTAACTCAAGCAGATAAAATACAATTCAAGTTTGGGACTTATTGATTGTAGTAAATGCCATGCATACATAATTAATATACACATGTATTCATATTTTGCATTGATTGCCTGTTATCATATTTCTGTTACGTACAGTTTTTTAAAAAAATTTGGTTTCAATGCCTACTTCTGAATCAAAGTGTACTGGTATTGAAGTAGACGGGAAAAATTCACTTATGAAAAAGATTTTGGTTACTGTTAGGTACTCCATGTTGTATTTTACTGTAACATTCAAAAGCAAACCACTCCTCAAACATAGTTGATGTGAAAATGGTAGGTTAATTAACAGATTTATTCTTTTATTTGAAATAATCCGTTCTCTAGAAAAAATAAACTGTGATCAGACGTGTTCGACTACGACAAGAGTGTGGGAGTTATCTACCAATCACATTAGATGATTGTTGCCCAATATCATGAATTGATTGGGGTCGTGGATGAGTTCTGCTGAGGAGTGTCATACTTGGATAAAACAACTGACCAAACATTTATAGCTTTTGATGCTTGTTTAACTAAGATGATTTAGTTTGAGTGACTTTTACTTTTCATTTGACTCTTATTATGTATGGATATGATATTCTGAAACACATTTTAAAACATATTATTTAAAATTGCATATTTTTTGTTCGGATGCTTGCTAGACACAATTTTATCATGCAAACCGTTGATACTTAAAAGAAGTTGGTGGTAAAACTATAATTCACACATGAGTCAATTAGAATCGAATTTATTGCTTTCCAGCTTTTGGGTGACATTAAAAATAAATGAACTTCATTAGATCACACAAAATTTGCAGTAGAATGACCATTGTTTAGTGTACAGAACAATAAAACTTATCAGGAAAGGCTTTTTATCATAATTGGGTGAAGATTACTGTGTTAAATGTATCAAATGTTTACTTTTTTCTATGAAGATTTCAAATTACACGTGAAGCAATGAATTTTTATTTCAGTTTACTTTGTTCATAGTAAATTCTCAAAGAAATCACATCGAAAATAATTCACCTGATAATAAACATAATGGTGAAGCAGGAATGCTGAAACAGACAACGAACTCCCTATATCGTAGTCTTCAAACTTCATTTCGTTAAAGATTTTATAACCAATGGTGAATTATTGATACAACTATTTATGACTGGGAGAAGGACTCAGAGAGGAATCCTTTAGCTTGAATGTATTCACACTCAAATAAAGGAGGTAGTATATGGTATTAAGATGGAAAACTAATGATAAAACTTGAGAAACTAATATGATTTTTAAAACCACCATAAATTAACGTATTTTTTGCTGTCGTTTAGAATTATTTGGGTGTAAGCGGACTCCGTACCCATTGTCCGAAAGTGGTTTCAAAATTACGAGGTCATTCTGATGTCTCTGTTCTTTTGTCATTATAGTTCCATAAAAATAACTTCGTAATAATCGTATATATATGTATATATACACACAAACACCGAACACCAGCTTATTGTAGTTTGTGACTCCTCATCAATGCACACTGCCGAAGTGTTATACACCATTACATTTCAAACGTTCGGGCTCCCCGGTGAGAAAGGTCAAAAACTGTTCTGGTTTATGAGATAGAACAGTGTCATTCTCTAGACATTTCGGTAAGTTACAACGGACATATGAATTAGGACCCTTTCAAGTTGAAAAAGGAAACGTACTGTAAGCGAAGTAAAATATCATGAGAAAACTAATTGATTGCTTAATATCAGTAGAAGGAGAATGGTTTCTTTTATTTATGAATATTAGTACTTTTGAAAACAATTGATTTTTGAATTGTTTTCTATTGTCATGATGTTTAGAATTTCTCAGTTGTAGTTTTTCACAGGATATATTACTCTTAAGGATTATGGGAAGAAGAAAAACTAGATGATGACATTGATTAGTAATCTACACATACACATACGCACACGCACACACGTACACAATTTCAACACCACTATTTCATATGACAAAAGTACACATTTTCTTACACACCTCCCTACGCACAAATTAATAAAGTGACTTGTCATACAGAGTCACCTTGACCAAAATAAATTGACATTGACATGTTCAGAGGTATTATGATCTTCATTGTACTAGAAATATTCTGTATTATTTCCTTCATACTATTTAAACTTGTGTTAATTACATTTCGATTATTTAATTACTGTGAAGTAGTGACTTAAATGAAGTTACGAACCGTGAGAAATACAATTGTTCTACTAATTAGGATATCATGAAAATATATTTATTATCAACTTTCTACCTATTGCTCAATTTGTTTGAAACTGTGAAGTTCAACCTTGGCATGGATACCTACAATTCAATTAGCATTTTATCTTTTAGTTAGACCGTTTGATTATTCCAGTAACTTTTTGCTACCGCAGGAAAATGCTATCCCTTTAAATGGTAATAGCCAAACAAATTAGAGTGATTGGAGGTTGACCCTCTGTCAGGTGCTGTTGTGTTTAAATGGCGTTATTAAAAATCGTCACTTTTATGTCTGTCATTAGTTGTGACTGAACTTGTGCTTAACTGATTTGTACTTGATACTGAAACCTCAAATCAGACGATGCGTAGTGAAAAAATCTGTAGACTGATAATCAGGATTTGTTTGAATCCCGGACTACATCAAAATGATATGTGAATACACTACTTTTTATACTGTTTACGTACAGTCAGATAAACAATCGTAT